ATATAATGTGTAGATAATGGAATGTTTTAGGTTTCATGACTTCTTATGAAACTTATCCAGATTGATGTTCATATCTATAATAATAATAATAATAATAAAGTGTCTGTGGATGGGTGTGTGAGTGACTGCCATAACTTCAAGAGGAAAGAACTTAGAAACCTGCAATTTTTTACCCATACTAAGTGGACCCTGAGGGTGTACACATGGGTATTATTACTTATCCACACACTGCACATCTTTTTATGAGGTAAGTTATCAAAAACCACATAGAAATGAAGTGGTTCCTTGTATAACAACTTCTAATATATAGAAAAGCTAGTGCATTTTGGTAACAATGCATCCCAACAATGGCTTTTATTTCATGTTGCTTAGCAAGAAAAGTATATAGGTTATACTTTTATGTTAAAATGGGTTCAGACATAGTCATCTAGAATATATCAACCTAATGACCTGAGTGAAGCTAGGTAGTTTAGCTAGTATTCAATAAAGTCTGAAAAAAAGTTGCAAACGTAATGTTTCAAAACATCAGAGTCATGATACTTGGATATCTATTTCAGGTTGCATGCATCAGTTTGTGATTACAATTTTCTTTGTTTTTAATTGTGTTCCACAATTAAATGCAACTGTACATTTATAGATCACTTGTTCTTTGTCTTTCATTTGGTAACATATGTGGTTAGTAACATCTCCCTCCCCCCCTCCCCCTCCCAACTATAAATGATCACTATACAATTGTTTGATTAATTGTAATAATACTTTTGTATTTTATCATGTATTCTGAATTTTCTGTTAATAGTTAGTAGACACAACAGTAGAAATAGCCAATAAAGTTGGAGCTGCTGAAATCATCAATCGAATAGTGGATGATTTGAAAGATGAAAACGAACAGTATCGTAAAATGGTGATGGAGACCATAGAAAAAATAATGGGTAATTTAGGAGCAGCAGACATTGATTCCCGCTTAGAAGAACAACTGATTGATGGAATTCTTTATGCTTTTCAAGAACAAACTACAGAAGTAAGTATTACTATGGTAAAACAAACATGCATTTTAACCTTATAATTGATGTTGATTTCCATTATAATTTTAAAATTAAAATCTCTGTTTTACTTAAGTATGAGCATTTTAAATCTGAAAACATAAGATATACTAGAAACCAAGCTTGTAAATAACATTTCCAATATCAAGTAAAAATATCTTTTAAAATGTATAATTTTGAGTTTTGTTTGTCAAATTATTAAATATTGTTTATACCTCACGCAAAATCAAACAAGCTTTAAGTTTTTTTTATGTTTGTAGCTTTTTAAAGTAATGAAACATCTTGTATTAATATAAAAATTCCACTAGATAATGTCAGCAAGGTAGAATTAGTTAAGTCATATTACATTGCTTGTGTTTTACCTATATAACAACCTTCGTTTGTCAGTCCATTATGAATTTTGCCTCTATCCAAGAATGTGGAACACACCTCTCATGAGTGTGAAGTACACACCTGCATATGAAATTTCACAATTTAAATTAAAAAATCATGAACACCATTGAGGTCATAGTCATTTAAGCCATTGTGCTTCTGCAGCTGTATTCAAATTATCAGGCTTAATCACCTTCTTAGCACCACGTAAAATATTAGCTAATCAAAAATATATGAAAACAAAAGCCATATAGCCAAGAATGTATATCCAAAACAGCATAGAGGAAGGAGTTCCATGTCAGGATGCCACCCTTGCAACAAAGGAAATTGTAAAGAAAGAGATGAAGAAAAAACCATGAATAAGAATACCATTTAGCAACACCCATATAATCAAAAGTAAACATGAAAACAATAAAAAAAATTAACCAAAACAGTTACACTATAAGAAATTCTGTTCCAGTGCAAAACCCTGGCATATTGGGATGCAACCCTGACACAAAAATACCACAGAAATCAAGAACACAAAGAAAAGTGAATACTTTAAGAAAAAAAAATTTGGGTCAGTTTAATAGCTAAATGATGCCCATACAGTAAGCTAAAGGTAAAAATTAAAAAAAAAATTGACCATATTATTACAAATGGCTTTTGTCACAGAACTGTTGCCAAGCATGGGTGTTTCAGGAACTTAGGACCAAATATACTGTCAACTGGCTATACATTAAATCTTCCAAAATAAGTAAAAACCATGCACTCTGTATTCTTTATTTCCAGGACTTCAGTATTGCTCCATGGTGGGAAGGCAGCTGCAGAAATTAATCTTTTTTTTTTTTCTGTTCAGACTGTTGTTTTTTTCTCCTCCTCCCCCCCTCCCCCTTCCCAAGGATTATATCCCCTTTTTTACATTGATGACACCCCTCCAGTCTGGAAAGGGTTAAGCTAGAATTGTATAAAAAATAGTATTCTACAAACCTATAAGTTAAACACCATTGGGCAACTAAGAGGTTAGTGTGCTTCAACTGCTTCTGCATTTTACACTCTGACATTAACAGTTGTTTTTCATGGTTGCTTTATTAATGTTTTGATATATCTGCTTTATCAGGATATGGTAATGCTGAATGGATTTGGAACAATTGTCAATGCTCTTGGGAAGAGAGTGAAGCCATATTTACCACAAATATGTGGTACCATCTTGTGGAGGTTAAACAACAAATCAGCCAAAGTTCGGCAACAAGCTGCTGACCTTATCTCCCGTATTGCCGTTGTCATGAAGACTTGCCAAGAAGAAAAGTTGATGGGCCATTTGGGTGTGGTCTTGTATGAGTATCTAGGAGAAGAATATCCAGAAGTCCTGGGTTCCATTCTAGGAGCATTAAAAGCAATTGTTAATGTAATTGGCATGCACAAAATGACTCCACCAATAAAGGATTTACTTCCTCGTTTGACACCCATTCTTAAAAATAGGTAAGGAAAAATATCGTAACATTTCAGCAAAATTAAAGTAAACTTGTTTATAAGTGCACTTTTTCCATTACAATAGTTTTATTAAAGTATCAGCATGTTTAATTGTTATTAGCTTCCAGTTACTGTTATATAATTAAAATGTGACAGAAGCATAATCCTCACTTTCTAATGTTATTACATTTATAATGAGAGAAGTGTAACAGACTAAAAACAAGATAAATTCATAAATTAATCAAAATATGTGAATTGCATACTAGATAACTTGACATAAAAAAAAACTATCCTTAGTTGAAATTACTTCTTGGAAATAACATAGACAATTTTCGTATGAAAGGAATTTTATATTTACATATTTTTATTCATATATTCTCTGTAGCTAATTTTAACACAAAGTACTAGATACTGTTAATGTGCCAATATTCTAGGGAGATTTAATCAAATAGACACTTTATAATTAGAGGATAAACTTAAGAATATTAGTTGTACCACTCCAAGTAAAGTAAATAATATAATTTTCAGGTTTAATAAAAAACCTCTTGTAATAAATTATTAACATTTTGTTAGCTTTTTCTTTAGAAAGCACTGTATTTAAAATTTAATATTAAAAATAGTTTCTTGAAATTCCAATGGACAAACTGTTGCAAGTTACTTTATTGAAGCCAGCAGAATATAATGCTTAACCTCTTTATTTTAATGTATTTATATGCAGGCTTCTTTTAAAAACTTCATATTAGTTGTTTGTAATACCTTGAAAACTTCTGTCACAGACATGAGAAAGTACAAGAAAATTGTATCGACCTGGTTGGACGTATAGCAGACAGGGGAGCGGAATATGTCTCGGCTAGAGAGTGGATGAGAATCTGTTTTGAATTGCTAGAGTTGCTGAAAGCTCACAAAAAAGCAATTCGCCGAGCGACTGTCAACACCTTTGGTTACATTGCAAAAGCCATAGGCCCTCATGATGTATTAGCAACACTTTTGAACAATTTGAGGGTAAGCAAAACTAAAAATGTGTTTGAATGCTTAATTAAAGAACAAAATTTCCCTATAAGTTACTATATGTCTTGAACACAGATAATGAGGCTGCCAATTTTTGTATACCAAAAATGCTTTCTAGGAATTGACATGTCTACTAACTAAGAACAACATTATGGGGATTTTATGAAGTTTTAAGCTAATGTTCAAGTTCGTGATTTAGTATTATCTAAGTTTTGGCCTTTTTATCAGAAAAAAACATCTTCATGCTATACTTTTTATAGGAAAATATGTGGAAATGGGTACAAAATCATCTTCTGACACATGTTGTGTAACATTACCACTGTGGCTAATTTGCATATTTTAAAATATTGAAAGACAAAAGAAATGTCTTATGTTCCTGATAATTTCTACAAACGTGACTGAATGCTCCTGAAAATGGGTCCAGACTTTGATGGGATGTGAAGAATTAATCTGAACTAAAGAAAACTGAAAATTAATTCTAGGTCAAATTATGGCACTAATGAGTATAGCCAAGTAAAACGTATGCTACAGTGACTCATTAATGATCATTTAATAAAAATCAACTCTTATGAACTTTACATAGTACACATGATAGATACACTAATAATGCATGTTTATGCCAATTGTGAAGTTTATAGCATCAATAGATCTAAAATTATGACTTGTACACTACTATAAGAATGACAATTCTCAGATATTGAAAAAAAAAACGTGTTTTAAAATTGGGTGCAAAATTGTCACTTTAAGGGTCTTTGTCTAGTTGGAAATTGTGAAACTTACACCCTTAATATGTTTCTGGGTATTAACTCTCTCAACACGGGTTTGGTGAATTTGTTCAATCACATAACCTCTTTGTGCTCATTTAAAGTCTATATAGATTTAATACTTCTAACTTCCAATATAGTTTGTATATCTTCACAAAATTTGGCCAGTCTTTCAGTTAACATTACAAGTCTTTCACATACAAAAAATCATATTCTTTAGTAAAGTATTTTTAATAAACTAAAATAAAGATTTTTCCATAAATATATTGAGTATTTGTTTTGAGTAGTCCATGTGCAAAGTGCTTTTCATGTTAAGATTAAAAATACTTTTCCTCATTTCAAAAATTTCAAATATCCTTTGTGTAATCCCTAAAACCTCCTAAATACATTTCAAATGTTTGTTTTCAGTAAAACTTTATATTTTATCTGTTATTTTCACTACCCTAACTAAACAAGGTTGGTCAATTTGACTGACCTCACCCCACCCCCCAAACAAAATTGAAAATATCTAAATTACCATCTTTTTCCTTCTACAATGACTTCATATGTAGTGTGAAACTACATTCGTTTATCCTAAGTAGCTTTAAACTCATAACAGTATACACCTATTTATAATTAAATTTTATTGTGTTATTGCTCTTTTGGTTACTCTTTGAACTGTGTCTAACTACTGTCCACACAATTATAAGGTTTAAATCACTTTGAGAACGTGCATCTCATGTTACGCTATAGAATTACATTATTCATGAGCTGCTCACATGCGTGACTTGTGAAACATTTTTTATTATATTATTATTATTTATTTTACCTGATTTAATCTTAACCTAAAAAGATCCCTATTTTTACATTTTAGTTACTTTTGTAATAAGAAATAAAGTATTTACCAATCTTTTTTCTTGCTGTCAATTGTCAATGACACTTAACCATACTTTTTTGATACTAATGGTAGTAATGCACTAATTTTTTTTAATTAAATAATGCACCAAAGAATATAATTAAATGGGGAAAGAACTATTAACAAATCCTGACAGAGAGGATGTGACAATTTCTTAGTTATAGGAGACATGGTGGATAAATTAGAGAAAAGAAAATGCTAAGAGAAAATGTCACATTAGGGAAAAAGTATTTTTTTTTAATATTTCCTTATAGAATTAAGGACTTAAAAAACTTGTATACTATTAAAATATGGATTATTAGCTAAGATTTTATGCTGTACTAATTGGTATATAAAACAAAAAATGTTAATAAAATTTTGAATGCAAGACACTAAAACTTCGTGTCATGAACAGTAAAGGATATCTGTGGTGATAGGGTTGAAGAGTATATGCTACCTTAAATTAAAATTTTTAGAAAATAATATGAAGTTTTTGTTCTAGATTAGTTTGTTTACTTGACTTTATTAACCAGTTTACTTTGAAAATCACAGTTGCCTATATGATTGTTATTAATGCCACTTGTTTTCTTCAATTTTATATCAAAATGTCATAACTTGGTTTAGTAAGTAAAAATTACAAGTACTTCTCACTCACTACAGTTTGCACTACAGTACATTTTTAGTTGTGTTTTGATAAAAAGTTAAAAACCAAACTACTTTTCAGTTTGTTTTTTCATAGATTAAGAGTTTTATCTATCACAGTAATTAATAAGTATTTGAATTAATTTCAACTATATATGGTTTAAATCACTTTGGATTATGTATGTATATTTTAATTGATTGACTTAACCTTCTTGCTATGGGCTTGGTGGATTACACTGTTCTTGTGACCCCAAAGTGGCCATCAGGATTTTCATTTTATAACTTTTAATATGTTTTGTGTATCTCCACAAAATTTGGCAAGCTTTTAGTAAACATTAAGAGTCTTTTATAGTCTTTTGTACACAAAAAATCAGAATTTTTAATTGAGTGCTTTACTAAACATTTGTCCATGAATATATGGAGTCAGTGTTGAGTTTTCATATTCAGATTAAAAATACTTCATCTGAACATTGTTAAATTTCCTTTGCATAATCTATATAGCCTCTTAAATACATATCAAACATTGTTTTTCAGTAAAGTTTTTATTTTATCTGTTATTTTCTCTACCCTAGTTCTGTATGAGGTTGGTCAATTTGACCGACCTTGTAATCACCATAAAAAAATATGAAATGAATCTTAGTTACCTTTTTTTTTCTAGAATGACTGGAAATTGTAACAGGAAACTACAATTGTTTATCTTAATTTTATTGTTTTCTTGCCCTTTGATCCTTGTGTAACTAATAATCTCACCATACAAGAAGATCTAGAGAACAAATGTCATAATTCTCATACTAGAGTAGATTAGGATTTTTCAAATATTTCCTTATGCAACTAAGAACTTAAAAGTAGCATAATATTGAAATTTGATTTATTAGTTACATTTTGATGCCAAGTTTCATTGTACAAGATAATTAAAAATTGTTAATTTAAGAAGGGGAGTAGGAATCATCGAAAAGTATGGAAACAAGTTGAATCAAAATGCAAAGATTGTATTTTCAAGCCTACAACTAGGAACTCTAAAAAAAAAAAAGTAAACAAACTAGACAGGTACAAATTTCTATTTTGACTCCACTAAAATTGATAAGTACTGTAGACATGGAATCAAAATAGGGACTTATAGCTTGAGTAAATATTGTAGAAACAAAGGCGCTTGAATTAATTTTAAAACTACTCTACGACATACTCAATACTGCATTCATTACTCTTGTCCAGATTTCAGTAATATATTCATAACTTTATTTTCTGTAGCAGCTTGTAAAACTATAATCAATAATAATATGGCTAGAGACAATAAATATACACATTATTTACTCTAATAAAACAAAGCGTTTCCAACAGTACTTAAATGGTTCTTACACTTCTGTGATGTTTGAATGGCTTCAAAGAGCTTTTGTTGATAGCGAAAAATGCCTAGAAAATTTTAGAGGGTGGAAATCTCGACTTTGAAGAATCAACTTAAAAATGCAACTTTTGCAGGTGTTTGTTTAGTAGCTTGCATAGATTTTGGTGCAATATATTTAACCATTTTTGCTGTAGTTTTTATGCTTGAATGGCTTTGAAGAGAAACTTGGCCAGTAGTGTGATGAAAAAAATTTATACAATCTCTCCCTTTTCAAGAATCAACATACAAATAGTCCTATGACCTGTGCAGGAGTTTTTTAGTAGGTTTGCCTAGGTTTGATTAAAATATTCATAGCTATTTTTCTGTAGGCTTATGAAACAAATGAATGTTGTTTAACAATTCAAAAATCAAGTTTTTTGCTATTATCAATATTTTAGCAGCCTTAGCCATGAGAGAGAAGGTATTGAGTGTTGTTTCAAGTACAAGTCTGCTTTTTAAGAAGGTTTTTGCCCATATGTTGTATTAGAATTTTTGTGAAATTCCTGGGTGAACCCTATTATGAACCACTATCATGGTTCATGATACTTTGATAATAAAATGGTTTAATTACATTTTGAATGGAACTCTAAATATTCATGATGTGCACTTTGTCCTACCTGTAGAGATAGGTATGTGTATTTTGTTTTTATCAATTGAAATTAATCCGTAGGTTCTGAGCAATATTATTTCCATAGTTTTCCTTATATGCTGCTTTGTTTCACAGATCTTTTTGGTATGAAGTTATTTGTGATTACCAGTTTGATTTTTCACTGATGAAAGACCATGTTTTTAATTATATGTATTTGTTTAACAGGTTCAAGAAAGACAGAATCGTGTGTGCACAACTGTAGCCATTGCCATTGTGGCAGAGACCTGTTCTCCCTTTACAGTCCTTCCAGCTCTGATGAATGAGTATCGAGTTCCTGAGCTGAATGTCCAAAATGGAGTCTTAAAGTCTTTATCTTTCTTATTTGAATACATTGGTGAGATGGGTAAAGATTACATCTATGCAGTTACCCCCCTGTTGGAAGATGCTTTAATGGACAGGTATATAACATCTCTCTCATTCGTTTTGACCTTAGGTTTTTCAGTGTATTCACCTACTTTGTGGTAGTCTGTTATAAATATATACCTCACATTTGTTCATGTGTTAATCTATGACCTTGTGAATGCTTTAGTGAAATAATATACTTTATGGTTTTGGCTCACCTAAAACTAGAAATCTGCTGAACATTTCAACTTGGTAGCAGACAATTGTATGCATAACATAGGCTACTTTTTTTTTTTGTCTCAAAATCTGATATAAACCAAAAATGAAAGGTTACTAACAGCACAAAGCTATGTACAGAGTTTAACTTAGACTATAGGGTTTATTACGACAGTGAAGAAAGTTTTTTCAATTAATTTTTATCTATTGTTACTTAAACTACCACTAAAAGTGAAATTCAGTATTTTCTAGGTTGATATATATTGGTATTCCTGTCAAAACTTTTAATAAGAGATTGTTACTTTTTTACTAAGTACCAAAAACATTGTCCTAACTTTTGTTATTGAGATCTGCTGTACCTTCTTGCCTTATATGTAGTGCTGCCATATAATTACCAAAGCTGAACATAGTGCAACAAATTCCATCAGAGCACAACATTCTAAAAAAAAATATTTTTATTTCTAGTTGATTTGGCCTACTTATATAAAACTTTTTTGTATACATTTATAATGCTTGGAACGTTTTTAGAGAAAAAAAAACATTTAATTTTGTACTTGTAGATGGTCAAAAGATTGAAAATTTATAATCAACTACTTTTTTGTTAGCTTATATCCCCCTCCCCCCCAAAAAAAGTATAGCACACACTTACAAAGTGATGTACAAAGTAATATTTCAAAATAGTTGAAAATATGCCCAGAATATGCGTTTATATTCTTTAATTGTTACTTGTAGGGTACATGTAAAACAGCTGTTCTATATTTTTCCCTCTTTCAATCTGTACCTTTATTACAATGATGTTTTGAGATAGCAAAAAAAAGCACCTATGAGTCGTCATGGTTGCTTCATGATAAACCAGGACGTTCGCAAGGTGCAAGAACAATGTCTTCTATGTAGGAATTGTCAAGTATATTTATGTATGCTCTGACAATAAAGTAGTTTAGCAACAAAGAGCTATTTCATAACCTTTTATTTTTATTTATATATATATATATATATATAATCAGGCTTGAATCTAAAAACTGTATATATCCAATGAGGTCAGGGGAATGTTTCTTGTAATTCTGTTAGAATTCATTTCTGTTTATTAAATTACTCTTGGTTTGCTTTCCAGGGATTTAGTTCACAGACAGACAGCTTGTGCTGCTATTCAGCACATGGCTCTTGGAGTATATGGATTTGGCTGTGAAGATGCTCTTGTTCATCTCCTCAACTATGTTTGGCCCAACATATTTGAAACTTCTCCCCATTTAGTACAAGCTTTTATGGGTGCTGTGGAAGGATTGCGAGTAGCATTAGGCCCCATAAAAATTCTGCAATATTCATTACAGGTATTAAAAATGAGTTCTTTCAAACAAAATCATAATTTCAACACGACCATAGTAAAAATATATATCTTATTTTGGATCTTTTGGAATATGTATTATCTATCTTCAAAGGTTTTCTGTAAAAAATAATTAAGTTGTAAGTTTAGTGTATCAAATAAAAATTGAAAAATATAATGAAATATGTGTACATATACAATGGAGGGGGGATCAGATAAATGATTACTGTTAAATAATAAAAATTTAACACTTAACTGATAGGAGCTGAGTGTATAAGAGTAGGTTTATATTTTTTGATTAGCAATATTTCATTAATTAATAACTGTACACCAGATTTGCATGAATTTAGAATTTTCAAATTCTCCAAAGGGTGAAACTAAATTTAATAGGGAAGATCTGGTTTCTGAGAAGGCACCTGTGTTTTTGAGCATTCATGACAAGATATTATTTTGTCTTGCTAACATATATGGCTGTACAGTTACTACTTGTACAACTCACAAATGTAGAGAATTTCGTAGTTAGTACAAAAATAAGTCTGAACTTGGAAATGTTCTCAAAAATTACTCTGAGAGTAGCACTTGTGTGTTAACTAAGGTAACCTTTGTTTGCTAGCCTTAAAACCAGAACAAAAGATATATGTTTATATTCTTGAATTCTTACTTGTAGAATACCTATAAAGTAGCTGTCTTTTTGTTTGTTTGCTTTTCTAAAATTAGCATTTTAATTGCTGTTTTCAAAATTTAGTTCAAGTGGTGACTGATGATTAACAATGTCTAGTATGAAACTAAACTTAAAGTAAAATAGCACATACTGAAACTGACTGATCTTTGTGGCTAAAACTGCTGTGTGTTAATGAACAACAGTTGATGCAGTACAAAGAAATCGGAGAGAAAATTCAGTTATTTAACCAGTGTCAAATAGACAAAATGGAAATTCAGTGATGCCTTTTTTATATTTATTATTATTAAAACCACAGAACTTTAATGAAACATCTAACCAATATGACTGCAGGAGTTACAAATGGGTTTGATATTGAACAAATAATTATTATGTGGAAAAACATGATTGTTACTTTAAGAAAGTTGTCTATCATTGAAAGAATCTAAAATAATTTTGTTTAATACTTGACATTATTTATACATATCAAATTATATTTTGCATATGTGTAAAATGTTTTCTTTGGTGTTTGTTGACTTACTTCCAACTAGACTTTAAAATCATGTAGAATGTATTGTGTATTTTAATTATAATCAGTAAGATTATTTTGTAGTGGATATGTCTTGTAGAACATATTACTTACAGTTTTGTACAATTTAAAAATAAATATTCATGAAATACAGATTTTTCATAAATCTGTTGGTGTATAGAGTTGGCAGATTATCTTCTTGTTCAGTGGGAGTGTTAAGCAAAATTCATTGTCCCGTACTTGTATACATACCTACACGTTTGGATGTTTTTGGTGTAGAGTAACATATATTGCACAACTGTCTTATTCTCAGATACACTGCTTTACAACAGATAAGAATAGTAACCACTCTAACAAGAGTTTCAACAGAAACATTTTATGTGGTTAAACTGAATTGTAATCTGACTGAATTTAACCCTTTTCTGGGCAGGGTATGGTATTAATAACTCGGAAAAATCACCAGATCTAAATCACAGACATTTCAAATTTGTGACACAATATCTATGGCACCTTTTGAAATATGCTTTTGATTTTTTGGTCAACTTATGATTTATAATACAATCAAAACTAATATGAAACATAGCTGTTTACTACACTGTTAAGCATGCATTACATAACAGCTAAACTGATAGCTAGTTTCAATACATATATCATCTAAGGTCTAATGACATTGCACACTAGACCACTTTGTTGAAAGAAATGATGCAATAAAAAATATCTAAAGTACTAAAACTAATATAAATAGATAGTATTTTATATCACTCTATTTTATACATAAAATGTATTTATGGTCTCCCTATAAAGATATATCTAATGTGTTCTGAAAGATATAATGTCGCCTATCTTTGACTGATGGCAAAGTATAATCTTAGCAATCATTGATGAGATGGCCTCGGATTTGAGTTATGAAACTAAAGTTATTGTATACAACCAAATTAACTGACTGCCACGACAATTGCTTCTGTAAAATAAACACGCACAGTGAATCTCATTAAGTTAATTTATTACCTTTCTGTGACTTACAATTAGCAGAATACCATAGCTAAATGACAACAAAAAAGTCCCATACTGCCTACAGATGAGTCTGGTTGATTTGTGGCATTATAACGACTTAAGTTCTTATGTAAGGAAGGAAGTTCTATGGCAATTAGATCACAAGAAATAAAAAATTCCAAGTATCAGATGGTATATTTACGATTTCATCCTCTGAATAAAAATGTCAAGAGGAGGTCAGATATTAACAATTTCAACTTTTTAGTTATTTCATCCAAAAAAGTTTTATCTCGACATTTCAGTTTTAATTTTATTTTGGATGAAGGATATGTCACGCATTTTTTCCAAGTAATACCTGGAGTGCCTGGACTGAAAAGGGTTAAGGAAGAGATTAGATAAAAGTTTCACAATAAAATAAGACACTATGTAAACATGACCAATAAAAGAATGTTGGAATAATCAGCATTACCTGAGAGAACCAACCACAATAAATATAATAAGACAAAGTCAAAATCGTTTTAATGTAACATACTAATCTTTCTATATGGTTATCAGCAACCATGTTTTGCTAACCCAATTATTAACAACTTGTTTTATGATAAACATATTCATGAAAAAAAAACCTTTATGGTTTGGTATGCAATATGAAGCTGAACACACTCAACACTTTCAGATATATATACTTTATAATTGTGACTGTCAATTTTACTGTATAAATCTGAGCAGCTTAAGTGTATAGTGCTACGGAATGATTTCATCCCTTCAGTTAGGAATTCTAAATTTTACACTGGTTTGGGAGGATATACTGCATTATCCATTAATAAGTCATTAAAATATACATTTTAGACCATTTTTTTAGTGTTTCAACATTCCTGTAAGAATATATTATACATCTTCCTTAACTCAAAAAAAAGGCTTTGAAGTGTGGTGTAATCCTAAAAATCTCAAAAAATTATGTTGAAAATAGTCTGGTTAACTGAGATTTCCATTGTAATTAGAACTATGGGATAAAAATAGTTCCATGTCGGACTTCTGTTTCAAATATGTTTCCGTACAAAATGTATTTTATAACTAAGCTGTGATTGTTTGTGTTGATAAAATTTGATGTTACCATGATTATAGATATTATCTTCAATCAATAAATTTGAAATACTTGCTTTCTCTTTACAGGGATTGTTTCATCCAGCTCGAAAGGTTCGAGATGTGTATTGGAAAATCTATAACACACTGTATATCGGAGGTCAAGATGCCCTGGTTGCTGGCTATCCAAGAATTCCTGATGATAACAGAAACAACTTTGTTCGACATGAGCTAGATTATATTCTCTGAACTAGCTGTGTTTCATCATATAAGCTGATCAAGTGGTTTATCTCAGAATTTTATAGTGGAATGAGCTAATTTGTCAAAAATCTTGGAAGCCTCATTCATCAGTATACCAATAATACAGAATTAAACATAGGTCAAACTAAAGCTGATTTTAAGTTTTGATACGTTGCTGATTAATATTCTGCAAATGATTTTTTCTTTAAACATTTATTTTATGAATTTATTTTGACACAATTCAGGTACGAGTGTCATGTAATGGTAACATTTCCCACCTAATTCGTGAGTAGTGTAACACTGCAATTTAAAACAGTTTAATTCTATTCAGTAAATATGTTTTTGTACAAACCAGTGGATCTCTAGTGTATATGTATGTAAACTGTTAAAAATGACTAAAATTTCTAAAAACTCTACTATTAAACAAACCTGTCATTAGTTTTATCTAACGTCAGTTGATAGAATTCTGAGTCATGTTATTCATAAATGGTTTGAGAAATTAAAGTACCACATTGAACATAAGGTTTTTAATATGGAATTACTTGTAGTAATATTAAGTAGCTTTTTTGAGAACTAGCCATAAAGATTGTATGTGGTTAAATAGCTGCAATTTATATGTTATGGTATTATTAGTGTATTCAGCTGTTTGATATAATTTCTTTTTTTTTATGTGATAGTAATTGGCAGGGTGTAGAAAGAACTGTATTAGATATCTTAACTTCCTAATTTTATTATTTTAGGCAGTTATTTCCCAAGGTAGTGTCCACACATAACTGTATGTCTGTTTAGATATTTGTATCAGCACATGGTTGTAGGGAATAATATTGTTGGATTTAAGTACTGGTTAATACCATAGTCTGTTAACCACATAATGTACAGTTTATGTTTCTATTTTTATGCATACTCCTTCCCCTTCCCTCAAATGTATTTGTATAACATCTTAAAATGGTAATGACCAGATGTAAATGTGCTTCTTTGTAAAATTATCAATAAATGGTTCACGTACTATATGACTGGATGTTTTATTAATCAGTTGTAAAAGTTCATAAATTGCAAAGCTATGACATGTACCAAAGAACTGAAAGCATTATTGTAAAAGTTCATAAATTGCAAAGCTATGACATGTACCAAAGAACTGAAAGCATTATTGTAAAAGACTACAACAGGTTGATGAAGTTTATGTATAGAAATATTCAGCTTTTAAACATGAAACATACTTCGTCAATTAATTGCACCTGCAGAAATATTTAATACATAACTGGAACCTGAAGGTATTACCTATAATGACATGAAAGAGGGCGAGTAATTTTTTTTGTTTGTGAAAACATTTTTTAAGATAGCATCACATTACAAAATGGGTCCATATTGTCCCCAAAGAAATTCTTTAATGATTACTTTAAATTTAGTATAAACACATTCATACTGAAGATAAATTTGTCAATATAGAAAACAAGTATAAATAAATATTAACATTTCTTCTATGAAACATTACAGTAAGCAATAAAAAAAATTAGCAGCTAGTAAAAAGTAGGTTTAAGTATTTACTACAGTTAAACCTTTGGTTTGGTATCATTGGCTCCATTTAGTATCAATTTTGTTGTAAAAGTCCGTGAAAAGAAAGACAGTTAAGTACTCAAAAGCTGTACGTTACAATGTGACTGATTAAACAGAGCAGGAAATGGTATTTCTGGTCATCTGATTGTATCAGTCCAATAGATTGTTCTCGATTCTCTCTCTAGCTTCTTGTTGTGTTGAAAAGAAAGCTAGAATAACCTAAATTATAAAGTTTAGCAGCAATTTTTTATAATTCTGTGGTCATCCTTCACATAAATGATAATTCCACTACAACAAATATTCTAGTTTTCGTCTTATCTTCGCCATAAAACTAAAGATATTTATATTAATACTAGCGTATAGCCCGTCAGAGGTGACAAGGCAAGTACTACCACCCCACCCCATAGTATACCCTAACCTCACATTTCACAGCTAACTGAAATAAATAAAGAGGCCGAAAAGTGCAGTAGAGGCAGTCAAACGTCGGTAAATTTCTTTGTGAGCCAATCAAAGATACGATCATTCGTATAATAATGATTGGTAAAAATCAGTTTGATTAACAACTTATAATCTATAGAAAAGCCAGTGCGTTTTGGTAACACTATGTTGCAACAATGGCTTTTATGTCATGTCGCTTAACAACAAAAGTATAACCTAATATTGTTGTTAGTTTATGTACTGAAAGTATGAAGTGAAATGTATCGACAACAAAACTGGGGGAACAGCGTTTCGGCTAAAAAAAAACGTACCTGATGATGACAAAACGTTGTACATTTGCTGTTATGTTAAACTTATAACTAAAGTTTTTCTTCATTACCCATTCAAGCTGTCTCGAACCATTATTAACCTTTACTTCAGCCACTCACTACTAATGAATGAATATACTATCCCGGATTCCTTCCACTTTGAACGTGAACTAAGTCAACTACTCCCCCTCAGATAATCTCTTCATGGCGAGCTTTGATGTTACCTCCCTCTTTACAAGCCCCCCAGTGGCACAGCGGTATGTCTGCGGACTTACAACGCTAGAATCCGGGTTTCGATACCCGTGGTGGGCAGAGCACAGATAGCCCTTGTGTAGCTTTGTGCATAATTAAAAATAAACAAACAAACCCTCTTTACAAATATTCCCTTAAATGAAACTATTAACATATGCATATCTGAGCTTTCGCGTAATAACATTCCTCTAAATGGCTTTTCTGAAAATCAAATTGAGACCATGCTGGATCTTGCCACTAAGAATTCACATCTCCTGTTCAACAACACCTTGTATGAACAAATAGATGGCGTTGCGATGGGATCCCCACTAGGTCCAACTTTAGCTAATGCATTTCTCTCTCATTACGAACAGAAATGGATTGACGTTAACTGGACAGGTTTTAGGCCTGTTCTA